CAATCCCAGTCTCCCAGTTCCTCCCACCCCACCCGCTTCCCCCTTGATGTCCATACATTTGTTCTCTACGTCTTTGTCTCTATTTTGGCTTTGCAAATAAGATAATTTATACATTTTTTCTAGATTCCACATATATGCGTTATTATATGACATTTGCTTTCCTCTTTCTGCCTTATTTCACTGTGTGTGACACTCTGTAGGTCCATCCACGTCCCTAAAAATTACCCAATTTCATTCCTTTTTATTGCTGAGTGATATTCCGTTGTTTATACGTACCACCTCTTCTTTATCCATTCCTCCCTTGATGGACATTTAGGTTGCTTCCATGTCTTGGCTATTGTAAATAGAGCTGCTATGAGCATTGGGGTATATGCATGTATTTTTTTGAATTATGGTTTTCTCTGGGTATATGCCCAGTAATGGGTAGTTCTATGTTTAGTTTTTTAAGGAAACTCGGTGCTGTTTTCCACAGTGGCTGAATCAATTTGTGTTCCCACCAATAGTGTATTGGAGGTTCCCTTTTCTCCACACACTCTCCAGCATTTATTGTTTGTAGATTTTTTGATGATGGCCATTCTGACCAGTGTGAGGTGATACCTCATTGTAGTTTTGATTTGCATTATTCTGATAATTAGTGATGTTGAGCATCTTTTCACGTGCTCGTTGGCCATCTGTTTGTCTTCTTTGGAGAAATGTCTGTTTAGGTCTTCTGCCCATTTTTTGATTGGGTTGTTTGTTTTTGATATTGAGCTGTTTGAGCTGCTTGTATATTTTGGAGATTAATCCTTTGTCAGTTACTTTGTCTGCAAATATTTTCTCCCATTCTGAGGGTTGTCCCTTGGTCTTGTTTATGGTTTCCTTGCTGTGCAAAAGCTTTTAAGTTTCATTAGGTTCTATGTGTTTATTTTTGTTTTAATTTTCATTACTCTAGGGGATGGGTCGAAAAAGATGTTGTTGTGATTTATGTCAGAGAGCGTTCTGTCTGCGTTTTCCTCTAAGAGTTTTATAGTGTCTGGCCTTACATTTAGGTCTTTAATCCATTTTGAGTTTATTTTTGTGTATGGTGTTAGGGAGTGTTCCAATTTCATTCTTTTATATGTAGCTGTCCAGTTTTCCCAGCACCACTTACTGAAGAGGCTATCTTTTCTCCATTGTATGTATATATTTTTTAAGTTTTAAAAATTTATTTATTTTATTTATTTTTGGCTGCATTGGGTCTTCATTCCTGCGCCCCGGCTTTTCTCTAGTTGCGGCGAGCGGGGGCTACTCTTTGTCACGGTGCGCAGGCTTCTTGTTGTGGCGGCTTCTCTTGCTGCGGAGCATGGGCTCTAGGTGCGCAGGCTTCAGTAGTTGTGGCTCGCGGGCTCTAGAGCCAGAGGCTCAGTAGTTGTGGCGCACGGGCTTAGTTGCTCCGTGGCATGTGGGATATTCCCGGACCTGGGCTGAAACCTGTGTCCCCTGCATTGCCAGGCGGATTCTTAACCACTGCGCCACCAGGGAAGCCCTCTCGATTGTATGTTCTTGCCTGATTTGTCATAGATTAGGTGACCATATATGCGTGGGTTTATCTCTGGGCTTTCTGTCCTGTTCTATTGATAAATATATATATATATATATATATATATCTGTTTTTGTGCCAGTACCATACTGTCTTGATTACTGTGGCTTTGTAGTATAGTCTGAAGTCAGGGAGGCTGATTCCTCCAGTTCTGTTTTTCTTTCTCAAGATTGCTTTGGCTATTGGTGGTCTTTTGTGTTTCCATACAAATTGTAAAAGTTTTTCTTCTAATTCTGTGAAAAATGCCAGTGGTAGTTTGATAGAGATTGCATTGAATCTGTAGATTGCTTTGGGTAGTATAGTCATTTTCACAATATTGATTCTTCCAATCCAAGCACATGGTATATCTCTATATGTGTTTGTGTCATCTTTGATTTCTTTCATCAGTATCTTAAAGTTTTCTGCATACAGGTCTTTTGCCTTCTTAGGTAGGTTTATTCCTAAGTATTTTATTCTTTTTGTTGCAATGGTAAGTGGGATATTGTTTCCTTAATTTCTCTTTCTGGTCTTTTGTTGTTAGTGTATAGGATTGCAAGAGATTTGTGTGTATTAATTTGTATCCTGCAACTTTACTAAATTCACTGATTAGCTTTAGTAGTGTGCTGGTGGCATCTTTAGGATTTTCTGTGTATAGTAGTATCATGTCACCTGCAAATAATGACAGTTTTACTTCTTCTTTGCCAGTTTGGATTCCTTTTATTTCTTTTTCTTCTCTGAACGACGTGGCTAGGACTTGCAAAGCTATGTTGAATAGTAATGACGAGAGTGGGCACCCTTGTCTTTTTCCTGATTTTAGAGGAAATCATTTCAGTTTTTTCACCATTGAGAATAATGTTTGCTGTGCGTTTGTCACATATGGTCTTTATTATGTTGAGGTAGGTTCCCTCTCTGCCCACCTTTTGGAGAGTTTTTATTATACATGGGTGTTGAATTTTGTTGAAAGGTTTTTCTGCATCTATTGAGATGATCATATGGTTTTTATCCTTCAGTTTGTTAATATGGTTTTTCACATTGATTGATTTGCATATATTGAAGAATCCTTGCATCCCTGGGATAAATCCCACTTGATCATGGTGTATGATCTTTTTTGTGTGTTGTTGGGATTCAGTTTGCTAATATTTTGTTGAGAATTTTTGCATCTATATTCATCAAAGATACTGGCCTGTAATTTTCTTTTTTGGTGTTGTCTTTGTCTGGTTTTGGTATCTATCGGGTGATGGTGGCTTCACACAATGTCTGGGAGTGTTCCCTCCTCTTCGATTTTTTGGAAGAGTTTGAGAAGAATCAAAACACTACTTTTTCACAAAAAGCTTCATTTCCCTTCAAATGAATCAGGCCTTTATTTAGGCTCCTTCAACTCTGTTTTATATCATCTTACTGTAGTCGTTAAGCTGCTGACATTGGACTAATTTTTTTCTCTCTCATTTTATTACAACAAAGTTTAACAGTCCAGAAAAGTCACATGACCTTGGTGGGTCGACACTGGACTAATTTTAATATTGCCTAGCATTCACAGAGGCCTAGATTGGTAAACTGAAGTTGGTCAAATTCTATGAAAATGTTATTACAGTCACGTGTTTTTCAGATCTAATTGCCTACTTTCAGTAGGACTTTGCATTAAAGTTTTATTTTACTAGAACTTGCAGCAAACAAGTTCTAGTAAACAAGTCTGATCTCTGGTAAGACTACATTGCTTCTTCGTGAGCTTTGATTTTTTTTTTAAAAGCAATATATTTGATTTAAAGTCGACTTGGTAAAGTTGATTTTAAAATACATTTGTAATTTTCATCCATTTGTAAAAAATTTTAACACCAGCAAGTGAACACAGTTATGAAAGGTTAGTAGTAATATTAGTTGTTAGTTGTAAGCTTGTTGCCAGTATAACTTCCATCAACTTACTTAGATAGTAAAAAGTAATATCTATATCTATAAAAATAGTTTATATCTATTTTACTTAGATATAAAAAGTACTTAACTTTTATAAAAGTTAAGTACTGTTGCCTGTAGGCTTGTTACTTCTGTGTGTCTGAATATTTAGGCAGCAGAATAATTTTCTAGAGCAGTTTACGTGGTAATCTTTTGAGTGGCATCGCATCAGTCCTTCCTGAACAGATCACGTTGAGCATGGTGTGTCCTGTGCGATCAGGGTGCTGTCTGGGGGCAGCAGTCCTGGGAGCCGCGTTGCCGCTGGCTGCGTCCTGGCCTCTGGCTCCTCCCACCTGGTGCATGCTGCTCCCGCTTTGTCATCCTGCAGCCCCTTTGCCCTTCCCTGAAAATGGGCTGCTTCTCGGCACAGGGTTCAGAAGGTGGTAAAGCAAAGCTAGTTCAAGTTCTGGGAGGTGGGAGAAATAGGCTCTGGGTGTGAGGGTCTGAGAAGCTCTTGTCTGATAGGAGCCTGGGCTTCGGGCAGCCGTCTGCTGCCCTGGGGCCTGTGAGCTGGCGTTCGGTTTTCAGACGGGAACAACTTTCTCCACGGGTTGAATTGAGCTTGTCATGGAGGCATGGGTTTTGCCGGCCTTAGGCCTGACATTCCTGTGAAACATTAGAAACATTGTGCTTCCATCCAATTTTGTCTGGGTCTGTGGTCACCACAGTGCTTGTTAATGTCATTATCTGAAGGTGTCATCTAAGTTCTGTCATCTTTGTATTATGTGCTCACATTAAGCTGTCATCATTTCTCTAGGATAACGTTTTCCAAGGTAGAAAATCCTAGAATCCTAATAAGGCTTTCGGATCCAAACTGGAGACTTAGCCCTAAGAGTAGTTTCCTAAATGCAGGAAGTTAAAAGGAAAAGCAAATAGCTTCTAAAAATCTAAGGAAGAAAATGAAATTCAAATGTAAGTCAACCCTGAAAGACTTATTAACATTTTATGCCATTTCTGACTTTTTCCTGTTATTAGGTATGAAATATGTAGATTTCTAAAACGTTGGGACATGAGTTTTTAAGTACAGAATGATTATGAGGTTTTGTGTTAGGATTATTGGTTTCCCTTTTAACATAATAAGAGAATACTGGGAACTTTTTATTGTAACTTTGTATAAAAGCAACAGCACAGTTTTGCCAAATATGTGAAAAGTAGAGGAGGAAAACCATCCACACGCTCTACCCTGCCCTTGTCACTGGAATGCCATGTCACATGGTGGTTACGCGATCATTTCTGCTAGAATGTGTTCTGGTGACACTCCTTTGGCTGTTACTTGACCTGCGCAGGATGATGAAAGCAACAGTGTTTTCTCCTCCAGGTAGTTGGAGGACACATCTTATTTGATGTGGAAATGGACTGCATTTTATTAGATGTGTAAGGAGTTAATGGGAAATAAAACACCTCGGTTTTAAATCATTCAGCTTTTAGTGCTAAACGCAACTGATTTCAAAACAAATGATGAAAACCAAGCTGCTTCATCAGTCGCTGGAATTACATGGAGATCTCTTCCTTACAGCTCCACATGAAGAAGGGAAACTTCTTAGTACTCAAAGCGAAGGAGCTGGGCCTCCCAGTGTGAGTGGCGGGGACAGCTGGGGGGCCTCGCCGGGGCTCGCTGAGCTCCCAGAGCCCCGCCCTCACCAAGGCCTCGCCTCTCGTTTCAGCGGGACAGCTGCCATTGCGCCCATCATTGCTGCTGTCAAGGACGGGAAAAGCATCACATTCGAAGGAAGAGAGGTGAGGTGCCCTGTTGCTGCGGTCTCAGCAAGTGACAGGCAGGGGCCGGGACGCTGGACAGAGTCACTATCTGGGTCAGGCCCTGCAGACACCACTTTTGAGGGCACTGAACAGCTTGGATTTCAGCACTTAGCTGAGCGATAAAATGGGGTCTCTTGTCTAGGCTTGTCCTGCACATCAGCGCTGGCCGTGTCTGGCCGTTTCTGGAGGTTGTCTCTAGGATTTGGGGGTCTCCTTATAGGATAGATGCTTTCCCTTGTACTTGAACTCAGGGTGGGCCCCATAAGGGTGGAATTTGGACGCGTAGCCCAAGGGAATGATGTCACGAGATGTGAGGACGTCAGGACCAGACGACCTGAGAGAACCGTGCGTGCCATGCTGGGCCGTCTGGCCACTTCAGGTGTGAAATGCCCTCTGCCAGCCGGCGGCCGCCTGTCTGCATGTCAGCAGAGAGGGCGAGAAGGGCGCAGGTGGTGATCTTATGTCGGCGCTTCTCTGGAGGGTGATGTGGCGTTAGCAGGTGACTCCAGGGCCTGCCCTGGGAGCACATCCTGACCTCAGTGACTTCACAGATTTTGCCTGAAGAGATCTGCACCGCCCCAGACCCCAGGGTCACTTTCGTTGTGGTAGAATGTCCAGATGAAGGATTCATTCAGCCCCTCTGTGAGAATGCCACCTTCAAGAGGTAAGGAGGGGTCTCCGGGCGGAGAGGTGAGAGCCGACACCACTCGGGAAGGCCGGCCTGGCACTGACCTGTGGCTGCCCCTGCCGAGGCCTGGGCCACCACGGCTCCGCGCAGTGCCCTCCCTGGCTGCCCCGGATCCGCGTGTCCTGAGTTTGCACCACTTGACCCAACAGAGCCCCCTGCTTCCTTCCTCCCAGTTTCCAAGGAAAAGCTGAAGCCCCCGTGGCCCTGGTGGTCCATATGACCCCGGAGCACGTGCTCCTGGACAGCAGATATCAGCAGTGGATGGAGAGGTAGGAGCCCCAGCACACGCCAGCCACGGTTCCACTGCTGCCCCTGCCCCCTGCCTGAGCTCTCCCCGGGGTTCCCGCCCTCCCTGGATCCTGGGGGCGTCCCCACTGTGAAGACCGTCCCCGCTTGCCTGGGGCTGGTTTCCTGAGCTCTGAAGAAATCCTGCCTCTGGACCATCCCGTACGTGTTTCCTAAAGAAGAGTCTTGCAAAGATAAAGCCACAGCTTCAGTTTACTCAACGTCCGCGACACGTCAGGCAGCGTGTTAATAAACACGCCTCATCTCCCTCTCCCGATCTTGCCGACAACCCGCGTTCAGTGACTGGGAGGACGGGTCCCACTCTCCTGGTTTCGTTGGCCGAGGCTGGCGCCGGGTGGGAGGACTTGCTGGGGTTGGACCTGGGCGCGTGGTGGCGTGTGCTGACACTGCCTCCCCGCCGGCCCCGGCAGTCCCTCTCCGGCACCCGGGTCCTCTGCCCCTCGGGGTCTGAGTGCTAACGCCCATCACAGTTTTCCTCTTTCTCCCCCTGTGCTCCCTGTGAGTCCAAGTCCCCAGCGCTGTACCTGCCTCTGGCTTTCCGGGTGCTCTTCCCCCACGCCCAGGGCCTCTGATTTGCAGAGACGCCGGGCTCGGAGGAGGAGGGGCAGGGCTGTGTCTGGCCACGTTGGGTCACCTCGGTGGACAGGTCGCTCACCCTCTTGAACATTCCCGGTACCTGGCCGCCCCACCCCCGGTGCCGCCCTGTGGGCGGAAGTCTTCCCAGAAGGACACTGTGCCGACGGTGTGCGCGTCCGTCTTAGGTTTGGGCCCGACACCCAGCACCTGGTCCTGAACGAGCACTGTGAGTCGGTCCACAACCTCCGCAGCCACAAGATCCAGACGCAGCTCAGCCTCATCCACCCCGGCATCTTCCCCCCGCTCGCCAGCCTCCGCCCCCAGGTAGCGGCTCAGCTTGGCCCGTTGCCCACCCCCCAGGCAGCTGCCCCCTGCGGACCGTGGCTCCGTCTCTTGCAGGAAGGAGGGCTTGCCCCCTGCGTGCCCCTGGTCCGCGGCCAGTGTCTCCTCAAGTACCAGCTCCGGCCCCGGCGCGAGTGGCAGAGGTGGGTGTGGGCTCAGTCGGCAGGGGGCGGGGCACGTCAGGCTCGTTCTGGGGGTGGGAGGCCCGGGGGTCAGTGGCGCAGGCTGCTCAGCCGCGTGGTCTCCGCTTCCTGTGGCTCCCAGGAAGAACCACAGACGATGGGTGGCGGACAGTGGCTGCGTCCCATTATAAGCTGATCTGGGGAGACAGGGGCTGACGGCCATCCTCTCCTGAAAGTTGTCTCTGCTAACAGCCGTGTGTGTGCGTTGTTTTGGAATGTGGAAAATGAGTGAGCGTAGGGTGAAGAAAGTCAGTCAGCCCTAATCCCATCACCCTGACACAGCGATGGTTAACATTTTGTGTTTTTTTTATCTTTGAGTACGTGGGGATGTGTTAAAATACACGTCTACACTGTGGGTTTAGGGCCTGACACGCTGCCAGTCTTTTCCCACGTCATTATAGGCTTCGTAAGGACACTGTCGCCCGTGTTCCAGATACGGGTGTTGGTGCGTTGGAGGCATTTCCAGCTTTTTGCTGTTGTAACGAAACAAGTGCCTTATATAAAAGTCCTTGAGGAGAACCGTGTTCCCTTAGGGTGATTGTGAGAGGGGAGTTTAGCGGGTCCGGGGCGGCACTGCCCGAGGCACCTGGTGAAAGGCGCTGTAGCGTTCACCCCACCTGAGAGGTGCTTACTGCCCTGCGTCTTTAACTTTTAAAATCTCACCCTTGAATAACTGCAAGTGTCCTGTGCACACCATGGTGTCTGTGTCCGGGCAGACCCCGTTCTGGACCACTGGTGGACACTGGGCACTGTCGCGGTGAATAGTTGGGGCCCTTCAGGGGCCCCCTTCCCTCCCTCAGCCCTGGGGGATGCCCGATGCTAGCGGGTGTAGTGAGCAGAGGTCAGGAGGCTGCATAGAGTGCCCACACCATCCGCCCCCTCCGAATGTCAGGAGTGCCAGGGCTGCCCCGTCCCGCTTTGAGCTGAGAGGTTCTGAGCAGCTGGAACTGTGAGACCCCCTGAGCTGGGAGAAAGTCTGCTGGGCAGGAGAGCAGAGCTGCCCCAGGCCCCAGTCACTTAGATTTGAAAGCACTTTCTGCAGGCGGTCCCCAGGGATTGAGCTGGATGTGCAGGGTGGTTGCTTGGGGCCACACGCTCCCCTGATGCCTGAGATGCCTTCTTGCAGGGATGCCATCATGACCTGCGACCCTGAGGAATTCATTGCCGAGGCCCTGGAGCTGCCCAATTTCCAGGAGAGCGTGCAGGAGTACAGGAAGACTGTGCAGGACTGCCCGGCCCCGGCGGGTGAGCCAGACCGGGACCAGCCCCGGTGTCTCCTGGCCTCTGCCCTCCTGCAGCTGTTCGCACAGCACTGAGTGGAGGGTCACCTTGGCCCCATCGAGCCCCGTGTACCTGTTGAAGCCATTGCTTCTCTGGCCTCCGCTTAACCAGTGCTGACCCCGCCCGGACTGGTTAGGTTGGAGGCTAGGTGACAGTGCCCAGGCTCTCCTGGCGAGGCCCACGCTGAGCTGAGTGCGGTGGTTCTGGGGCCTCCTTTGAGGCCCTGGGCAGAGCTGGCAGTCTAGTCCTGGCGTTGCCGGGAAGGATCCATGGAAGGTTCTGGCCACGGCACTCACCTTGCTGGGCTCTCACCGCCCTGACAGGAAGAGCAGTCTGGGGAACTCCGGGACCTCTTTCTAGTACTTGGTTTTCCCAGTGTTGTGTTCAGCTCACGAATGAGGCGGAGAAACAAGGCTGGACCAGAGGGCGGGTTCAGGTTTCACCCAGCTGGCACCAGGCCGCTGTTTTGGGAAGATGCCCTCCTGGCTGTACGTGCCGTGGGCTTGAGATGGGCTTCTGGTTTGCGTTAAAGGTCCATTTACATTACATTCGTAAACATGCACCCGGGGCCTCTCAGGCCGAGCGGGGCCCCATCTTCAGAATCTAGGCGGCTCTGCCTCTTCTCTGGGGAGTTGGCCCCCCTCGGAGCCACTGCTAAGTGCAGCAGGGCCTGTGCCGGGGGTCCCCTGCCCCGGGAGGTAAATGCTGACTTGCAGCGTGAAAAGGTGCCTTTGCTATGTAACACGTAGAGCAACTCTGCTGCAGAAAACCCTGTGGAATCCCCTCGTCCTCCTCCCCGGGCAGCGCCGGGCCCCTCGCCCCAGGCCCGCGTGTAAGGAGGTTACACCAGCAGCCCTCCTGGGGAGCTGGACTCAACTCCAGTGCTGGCTCACTTCTGACCCAAAGAAGTGAGCAACTTGACGTGTGTCTTTCCATAGAGGAGAGAGGCCGGTATCCAGAAGTGGTCTTTCTCGGAACGGGGTCCGCGATCCCCATGAAGATCCGGAACGTCAGCTCCACTCTCATCAACATCAGGTATTAATCCTGCACAGGAGGTGCCCGTCAGCGGGGAGCCCGGGGTTCTCTCAGCAGACCCTGCTCCACCCGCCAGGCTAACCTGGAGGTGCAGCCTGTATGTTCCTGGAGGCCCGTCTTGGCTGGGGCCCCGGCGGGGTGGGGGCAGGCAGGCAGTTCTCAGCCTCCGTAGCTAGCTGGACTGGAGGGAGTCACCCAAGTTGGCCGCCCGTTACGTCTTCGGATGCAAACCGCTGATGTGTATCGTGTACGCTGTCACCCTGCTGAGGGGCCGTCGCCCTGTTGAGGGGCGGTCTCACTAAGTTTCCACGTCCCTCCTGTGAACCAGTGACTGGCCACCTCCCACACCCCCATCATCGGTGCACCTGCCCCAGGCTGCTCATGGCTGGCGGTGGGGCAGACCCAGGCCAGGACTCGGCGTCCGCCTCTGTGTCACAAGGCCCCTTACTGGTGCCGCTGGGGTGCGGAGCAGCTTCGGGGCTCCTGCGTTTGCTTTGTGAGCCTCCTGGGTTTGCCTGGTGGTGTTGGTCCGCAGGAAGCCAGGCTCGTTTTGAAGTTTTGCTTTGTCATCCGAGTGCTGGTGTGGATGGCTAACAGCCAAATAACGCGTTAAACGTACTTGGCAGTTGTAAGGGGCACCCCAACAGCAGAAGCGCACGGGTCTGGGATGTGTTTCTCTTGTGACGGAGGAGCTGGCAGGAAGCGGCCCCGGCCTTTCCCGGAGGGCGTTGGTGCAGCCACTGTCTCCGGGCCGCGCCAGCTAAAGCAGAGCCTCGGGGTCTCCTGGCAGCCACAGCGGCTGTCGCCACGTTCCTTCTAAGTAGAGTCTTGTGGATTTCATGTCCTCATCCTCTCCTTCCGCAGAAACTCTCTTGGGTGCCCAGCATCTGTGTAGCTCTAGGTACGCTCCGTGCACCTAACTTCACAGAGCATCGAGACAGTATTTCATGTCACGTGTGAGACCACCATCCTCTTGACAGCAGCTCCCGCGGGAGGAGCTGAGCGGTCCCGGGGGACGGGCACCCAGCCTCGTCCTGCCCTCCTCCCTGAGGGCAAACCATCTCCTCCCATAGCTCCGACGTGTCCCTGCTGCTGGACTGCGGCGAGGGCACCTTCGGGCAGCTGTGCCGCCACTATGGGGACGAAGTAGACCGGCTCCTGGGCACCCTCGCCGCCGTGTTTGTGTCCCACTTGCACGCGGACCACCACACGGTGAGCGGGCCGCCTCCCTCTCCCTGGCCGTGCGCCGCCTCCGTCTGGGCCTGGGCTCGTCCGCAAGCCCGGCGCCACGTGCGTCTCACCTTGCCACGCGGCTGCTCGGAGCTGCCCTCGCCCGGAGGCGGGCGGCTGGGTCCGTCAGAGCGCCGGGCCCCCAGGGGCCCCGACGCGGGAAGGAGGTCGGGTGTGGACCTGGCTGATCCGTGCCCCCTCCTCTTTCCCAGGGCTTGTTGAACATCCTGCTGCAGAGGGAGCGGGCTCTGGTGAGTCGTGCAGGACGGGACTGCCCTTTTGCCTTTCTTTGGAATGAGTGCATGCGCGCAGACACGCACACGCGCGCACAGCCATACCTCGGGCTGCAGCACGCCGTTTTCCCTGCAACGCGCGCTGTGCACTCTGATCTCCTCGTTCCAGGTGTCGCTGGGGAAGCCGTGCCACCCGCTGCTCGTAGTGGCCCCCACGCAGCTCCGGGCCTGGCTCCAGCAGTATCACACCCAGTGCCAGCCGCTGCTGCACCACGTCAGGTGAGCGCCCGGCCCGGGCCCTGGACGGTGAGCGTGCGAGGCAGGCTCAGATCACAGGGAGCCGGTGAGGCGGTTTCTACCTCTAAGCGTTCCTCTGCCTCGACACGTTTCTCCTCGGCCCTCCTCACTTCTGTTCCCGATCCTAGATCTTTGCCAGCACTTCCCCCAGACACAGTTCCGGGGCCGAGTGCCCTCGCTCCCTGCCTCAGTGACGGAATTAAGTTTTCTTTATCGTAGCGATTTGGGGGTCCTCTCCCGTCAGTGACTTGAACATCAGATTAAATGTTTGTTTTTTAATCTCACAGTATTATTCCTGCCAAATGCCTTCAGAAAGGAGCCGAGGTCTCCAACCCCAAAGTGGAAAGGTTGATTAGTTTGCTGCTGGAAACCTGTGGCTTGGAGGAGGTTAGGGGAGGGCCCGGGCACGGGAGGGCAGGTTGGGGGACAGGGGTGTGTGACGTGGGGAGGAGGGGGCGAGGCGGTAGCTGGGCCACGAGCCCATCACCCGCTTCCTCAGTTTCAGACCTGCCTGGTCCGGCACTGCAAGCACGCCTTCGGCTGCGCGCTGGTCCACACATCCGGCTGGAAGGTGGTCTATTCGGGGGACACCATGCCCTGTGAGGCTCTGGTCCAGATGGGTGAGCAGGGGCAGCCACCTCTGGTCCCCCCGACGATTCTGGCTGTCGTCCTGACTCGCAGCCTCCTCCCAGGGCCCGGGGGCAAGTGCTGTGGGCACCCCAGGCCGGGCGGTATTCTCAGAGGGCCTGTGCTTATGCTCTAGGGAAGGACGCCACCCTCCTTATCCACGAGGCCACCTTGGAAGATGGCCTGGAAGAGGAAGCCGTGGAAAAGACACACAGGTAGCGGAGTCCCCTGAGCCTGCGTCAGCCGGTCCCCGCTCCTCCCCGCTGATGCTGGGCTGGTCTGCTTCCCTCCGGGGGCCCTGGGGGCTTCTGACCCGAGGCAGTTGTCTCCCGAGCCTCTGTCTGTATTTCTGCAGCGCCCTCCAGGCAAGATTCTGGGCGAGGCGCAGCTTGGAAAAGAACTGGAAATAAACGCTGAATAAGTGGGAGGCCGGGGGCGGATCTTGCGCTATTAAAGGGAAGAG